TTGTTACGTACAGCACAAGTGCCAAGCCGCACATGTGTATTTGTTTGGGAAGCAGCCAGCCACCGTACCACCCGGGTAATGGAGGAAATGAGTGTGAGAAAAATCAACCGAGTGTGACCGAAGAGAAAACAGATGATGGTTCCAATGCCGGAGAGATTGTCGAACGGAAGAGCCATAGAAGTTCCGTAGTGTGAAGGTATTTCGGCTATTTCAAGTCTGACAAAAAACAGAGTAGCGTGCACTGTAAATTGTGCCGAAAGCAAGTCTGGAAATACAATAAACTGGTGCATGCGCTACGTCCACACGTACCCGGGTATTTTTGAAAACGCAGATTTTTCTATGCGTTTGCACCTTTCGTCCACACGTAAACGGCGTTATTGGTCACTGAAAACGGAGATTTTTAAAAACTCCGTTTTTGCATTTACGTGTGGACGAGAAATACGGGCAGCGTCAAAGGTGTGCACATTTTTTGACGTCACACTGTGCGCCACGTTATTGTTTCAGTGAAATGAATTTCTACAATACTGTTACTGTTAATTGTACTCTCTGCAGTGTTTAAATGCTTACATATACACACAGTTACTGTCCGTCCACACATACGACTCGGTTCTGCTTCTATGCCCCAGCTTTGTTTACTTTTTCCCACCGAGGCTTCTAGACTTCTGATTGGCCAACATTTCTTCACGGTTAGGAATCTAGCGCCACCTGCTGCTTTGGCATGTTCATAGCAGCGTTTTCCTTCATTTCTGCCTTTATGTGTGGACGGGATTATTTTTTAAAACGAAAACGGAAAATCTCAGTTTTCAAAAATACCCGTGTACGTGTGGACGTAGCCTCAGTCTCTGACTGGAAGCGCTAATTCGTCATTCGGCTTTTGTCAGACTAAAGTAACTGTTAAAACTGTTTGAAAAGCTCAGCTATACAACAAGGAGAGATTGAGAATTTCCTTTTAGTTCTCAGTTTATTTGATATTGACAAAAGTTAGTAAATTTTGTCTGTTCTTCTGTAAAACAAACTAAGATTTATTTTTAGAATTAATATTTTGTTTCTAAGTGGAATTGACAATTTAGTCTGTGGGGCGATCGTGGCTCAAGAGTTGGGAGTTCGCCTTGTAATCGGAAGGTTGCCGGTTTGAGCCCCGGCTTGGACAGTCTCGGTCGTTGTGTCCTTGGGCAAGACACTTCACCCGTTGCCTACTGGTGGTGGTCAGAGGGCCCGGTGGCGCCAGTGTTTGGCAGCCTCGCCTCTGTCAGTGTGCCCCAGGGTGGCTGTGGCTACAATGTAGCTTGCCATCACCAGTGTGTGAATGTGTGCGTGAATGGGTGGATGACTGGATATGTAAAGCGCTTTGGGGTCCTTAGGGACTAGTAAAGCGCTATATAAATACAGGCCATTTACCATTTGTTTGTTCTATTTTGAAACTTAAACGCTTTAGCGGCTGCCTTTTGTGTAGTTTGCAATATTTGCCTTTATTTATCTGAAAAAGTCTCATGTTCCTTAAGTACATCTACCCTGTTGAACTTATTATGGGAAATAAATATTTAAATAAAAACAAGCTGCTGATTATTTCACATTTTACTTGTGAGCAACGGCACATTTAAATCTTACAAATATAGTTATTTGGCTTATATCGTGATAGATATCGTTATCGCCTGAAATGAAAAAAAAACATATCGTGATATGAAAAAATCTTATATCGCCCAGCTCTAAACAGGGGCTGAAGGTATTCACCAGAATAAAAGCCTTTTATGAAACATAAAAGAGCGCTCCTCCTCTGCAGGATGGCTGATTATGGGGCTGATGATATGACTTACAGCCATACAGCTACAATCAAGTTACCCTGGAAAAAAAACCCAAAACAAAACAGTGAGGGAGAATGCATCAGGAGAAAATGAGCAACAGCTACACTTCTAAATCCCATTTAGGAAGGCGTTTCACCTCAACCTGCTCCGGCGGCCGTGACCTGCAGTCGCACCGAGCTGTAGCAACAGCGCGTGCACGCTTCATCAACTCTGCTCAGATAAGCAGCAGTCGCAGAAGTACTTTCAGAATAATGCCGTTTGGTGATGGAAATGTCTCAGGACTACTTTTGCTTCCCCCAGGGTGCCAGCAATGTTGGAGAAGAAAAACACATCAAGGCCGCCCTGCATGTGCATCACAGAGCCGTTCCTACCCCAAACTGCAGATGTTAAGGTTCATTTCAGTGCTTTCCCTTTACAGGATTTTCTTCCTTATTTTCGCCTTCATTTTTCATGTGATGGCCGTTTCCACTGTGAGCCCACCTCAGGCTCTAAGATGAGTTGTTTACCATTCATGTGCGTGAGCACGCACTCTCAAATCCTTCCAGTTCACACCAAGACTGTGTCACACTGTGGGCTACTACAGTAGTGCATAGACATAATGTTGATGGCTGTTCCAGCAAAGAAGCAATAAATCAAATGGCGACTTCTTCTGATTGGCTGAGAGACATGATTCTTTTTGCCACCACAGAGCAAACCTTTTTTTTTTTTTTTGCCTGTCCCGTTTGGCTTACGGATTTACTTTACCAAATGGACCACCCCAGCCTTGCCGTAATGGTCTATTTGATTCACCTTTTATTGTTTATTTTATTTTATTTTCACTTGTTAAATACGGGACAGACTTGACTGGGGAAAGAAAGGGGAGAAAGAAAGGGAAAGAAAAACAGCGGGGAAGAGGGACGGGGAGCAAACCTAATGATGCAGCAATCAACTGACAGCCCTCTCACACTTTGTAATATGCCACATTTCAGAATAAAAGCCCATACTTATTGATATGTTAATGAAGTGCATGAATTGCTGAGCTTGAATATATTCTTCAATAGTCTATAACTGTTGGAGGATTAGAGGAATGGCACTCATTTCACGCCTTTATGTTATAGCTCTGATAACGGAAAATGTATCGATTGTGAACTTGCATTATTCCAAAGGGATTATGCAGCGAAGTGTCCATTTTTCCTCCAACTTAAATGTGAGAATTTGCTGCTTTTTTTTCAAGATGTCACCTTGAGCTCCAAAACTTGTCATCAGCATTATTACTATTTCTGAATACGTTTGTAGCTAAATGACTTTCCCATTGTGGACAAGACCTCATTCTCTAATAGACAGTGTAAGATTTTTGTTTTTTAAGCTCACCTTTTGTAGACAAAAAGGATGGAGTTTCACAACTGTTGAGTGCACAGTCCTGGAGAATGAGGCCATGGTACGTTGGTGAAAATGGGAGGCACTCAAGTTTAAATGTCTTGCACTCAAAGGCAGTGCCTGAGAAAAGAGCATTTTCAAACATTCCCTGCAAGTCTTTTTTTTTTTTGGCCAAACAGAATACCTAGGCAGGTATTCAAGTGTCCAAAACTCCAAATTCATTAGCACTGTTGTTGCAGTTGGACATCCTGTTTTTGCTCTGCAGCCTCAGTAAACTTGAAGTAGCTGACTATGAACCAGTCCTCCATCTGCTGGAGGTTCCTCAAGATCTCCAGACCAACAAGGACCAACACTAGCAAGATAGTGAAACTGGATGTGAAACTGGATGACAGACTCACTGGAGAAGCAGCAGGATGAGGACTAGGGCTGCTCAATTAATCGAATTTTAATCACGATTACGATCTGGGCTTTCAACGATCATTAAAAATGACTGAGCCGATTATTAGCCCCTCCCTCGTGCTTTACTCTCACGCTGCTCCGTGTGGCAAATCGAGCGCACCTCTTTGCATTTCGAACACGTGTCACAACAATTAAGAGCAGCGGTCCCCAACCTTTTTTGCGCCACGGACCAGTTTATGCCCGACAATATTTTCATGGACCGGCCTTTAAGGTGTCGCGGATAAATGCAACAAAATAAAACTAGTACCGGTACCGAAAAAAATGAAATTTATTCATAACACACGTGAAAAGACCCAGGAAAACCGAGTTAACGATCAAAACGATAACAAAATAACGCTGAAAACCGATAAAAACCCTGAAAACTATACATTTCACACCTGAGCCTTAACTCTCGCGGCCCGGTACCAAACAACTCACGGACCGGTACTGGTCCGAGGCCCGGGGGTTGGGAACCGTTGATTAAGAGGACCCGAGGGAAGCTCGGAAAGCTAAGCAGAAGTTATTTGGAGAGGAGAGTGACTGCCGTTGTTGAAAAGAGAGGTAAAAAAACCTTCAGTGGTGTGGAAACATTATGGGTTGGCGGAGTCAGACGTGGATCAATTAGACATAGTGTGTAAGCTACAGTGTCGTAGCTGCACCACAGAGCAACACTGCAAAGTTCACTAAACATTAATGTTTACATTTTTCATTTCATTTATATTGCAAACATTTGCACTGTTATCGGTATTTGCACAATATTTTATATTATTTTTTGACAATCTTTAAAGTCATTATTCAATACATTGTTATTGTTAAATAAATATCGTCAAATAATCGAGATCTCAATTTCAGTGAAAATAATCGTGATTAGCATTTTTGCCATAATTCAGCAGCCCTAATGAGGACTGCCACAAAAGTAGTAATTCATGAGACAGGAAGGGCTTTCGTTAGCTGGTTATCAGGTTAGCAGATTTTTAAAAAACTGGATACCCTTAATAGCACCCTGATAGCCACAATCTTTGTCTTCTCCTGGCATTAAATCAGGGATCTTTTGCTTATTATGCAAATGTCTATATTATGAAGCCAATAAAAATCAGATATACTTATGTGAGGCAGATCAATCAAGCTAGGTTTATGAGTGGGAAATGACCGGTCTGTGTTCTTGAAAAATGCAACACATAAAGGACTACAAAAACAACGTAAGTTATGGAAATTTCAGGTTTCAATCAGTTTACAGAAAACAAAGAAATAAAGTTATATTCCACCAACTGTCACAAAATCCTTTAAGCTATTTAGCTTCACCAAGATTGGTCTAAGCCATCTATCAATAGACAAACAAGAATATCATCCATTATATCGTTATACTGTAACATTAATACCAAAACTTCCATGACTCTGTCTTACCATCATGAGTTCCCTTTGGAAGGACTTCCTCTCCTTATTCTCCATATTGGTACATTCCTCTTTGAGTTTCTCCAGAACTGATGCCACCTTCTCTGGTTCATTGTCCAACTCAGTCCGACAAAAATAATTCAATGGCAAATTCCCATATCCAAGTGCGTCCACAAATGCCCCCCAGCTACCAACGTTCTCCATTAAAACCGTCCTCACAGTCGCATAAATATAAGTAAGAAATTTGCAAGGCTTCAGGATCTGCTCCAGCAGCATTGTGGTCGTTAAGTCCGGTCCACACCAATAAATGGGCTTGACCTTACCCAGAACCAAAACGTTTTTGGCGTGGACAAGCCCCACCTTCCCCTGATAGTATCCAATGTACCATTCTTTGGTCCGCAGCTGCCCTCGTAGTTTGATTTTCTCCTCACTGAGCAAGGCAATAACATCCCCCTTCTTGTACTCCAACAAATAGGTACTTTTGTGCTGTCTGATAACTGTTTTTATCAGTTTCCCAAATTTCAGGTTTGTAATGCACCGCTCCTGAAATTTGGGGTATTTTGAGGTGACAGCTAAAGGTGAGAGGACAATCTTATCCACCTCTTTTTTTTTCAAGAACCTCCTCTGGCCTGTAATCCTTGCGCCTGTCTTTGGCGGTGGCTGTGGGGTTTGGACGCAGAACTGAGTCAGGATACAATCGAGGGCATCTTTGACTTGGACCCTGAGAGTAAAGTCTGAGATACTGCTGGGGTTGTGCGATGTGATCATGTACAGGAGTCTGCTCACTTTCCCCAGTTTTACCTGAAATCCACGAATCATGCCAGCGCCCTCGCTTGCCTTTACCTGGTAGTTGGACATGTTGGAGTACAAACCAACCTTGAGGTCCTGAGGGTATCCCAAAACAAACTGGTGCTTCCCCCACAGCTGGAGGGCCGCTGGCGGAGTTGAGCTAGACTGCCGGCCGACTTCATTTACCAGCAAGGTTTTAGGAGCACAGTCATGCCCAAACATGGCCACAACTGTCTTGAAGGATGGGTGAATGTGCTTGGGTCCATATACACCCAAAGTTACCTTCTTCTGCACGTGGTCCCAAACAGTTGTATTGTGGCTGAGGTACTGTGACTGAACCACAACAGCCACGTATATGCAGGGCTCGAGACTATCCAACTGTACCTGCACTGTATCCTTGTATATGTAAGCATTAGGGATTGGTGTATAAGGCCCTTCTTTAAAATCACTACGAACACAAACCACTTCAGCAGTGTGACAGCTCTCTCTCTTCACAGTTACTGATACCTTCATCTCCAGCGTGATGAAAGACTTGGTCTCCATGTTGCTGAGCTTGAGTTCCACCACAGGGCTTATGGTAGAGCAGTGATCATTATTTAGTTCCAGAGGAGGGTCTAGTAAGGCTTTCAAGGAGATCTGCTGGTGGTCTCCATGGCTAACGTGTCCCTCTGGAATGTGCACGCTTATGTGGGTGTCTGGAAGCTGAACAACCCCTCCATTACAGTCCAACCTGCACACTATGTTGGTCTCCACCGGCTGTGTCTGCCCCCATCCTGGACTCTGACCAAGAGAGTCAAGGTCATGGCAAGACCTGGCTAGTTTTCTGTGGTTTAGCCATGCAGTCCTGAAGTCCTCCCTGCTCTGAAACTGCTCCGGTGACGGAGCCTTAAGGCCCGTGAAGAATCCAGAAGAAGGTAAGGTTGCATTTGATTGTGCTTGTAGCACGGACAGTTCAGACAGACTGTGGGAACGCTTACTCCTGAAAAATGGATTATCCCTGTGGAGGTTAGGTGTAATCTCTTGGATGGGGCTGATAGGGTTAGTACCGTTAAAATTATAGCTGTGAAACCCATTGTTCACGATTGTACTAGTACTAAAGGTGGAGCATGTCGATGGTGATGCCAGAGCATCAAAGAAATTGAGATCTGCGGAGTGTCTCACATCTGCCTCTTTGCAGTTTTGATCTAAGGGACAGATAAAGGGGTTTGCAGAAAAGTGGCTGTTGTTGTAAATTGGAGAGGGCCTTAGGCTCACTGCTGTCCACTCTCCGAGACCTCCAGATTCCTTTAGTCCATCCTCATACCCCTCCCCAGCACTGTCAATCATCCCACTGTCGCTCAGCGAAGAGTTCCTGAAGCTGACCGGCTGGACATATGCGGCTGGGATGTATCCCATTTCTGTGTTGTTGTGGGCATACCACCATTCTCCCCCTGATGTGTCCAGCACATACAGACGATCACCTTTGGAGAATTTGAGAGTGGTAAAGCTGCTCGGGCAATAATCCTTTATGGCAACAACTTCCTGTGCAGCTCCATAGGAGGCTGAAGTGTCCAGCCTTAAGGCACTCGGAGAAGGCACTGAAAAGGAAAAGAGATTACACTGTAGTTGTCCTGATTGCAAAGAGTTTTGTAACTGGTTTGGCCCTACTTTAGGTAAGTGCACTTAATCACTGTGCTGTAGTTAACAGTGCTTGTCTCATAATCAGAGACAGATATAATGAACCAGTTGAGCTAATTAGGTAGTCGTACTTTGGATCTCCCTGAGAGACTTGTATCCAAATGGGTCAGTGGTTCAGTAAAAACAGATCATAAGATAGCCACAGTACCCACAGAACAACCAAAAGCTTGTCTCTAATAATCTGAATCCAACTATATTTTCTCAGGTGTGTATGATCAGATGAAGCGCATAATTTACTGCATAATTTACTATATTTAGATCACCTCATTAGCGTATATGGAGCATGTAAACAAAGCTGTAATGAGATGAAACCAGTGAAGTGAAAGAACTCGGAAATGAATAAACCTATTTTTAGCTGAATAATTTAACTGCAAAAAGATGAAAAGCATAAAAATTAAAACAAATTATTTAAATTCCAGATTTCAAGTGAAATTTAATGAAATGTTTTTTTAAACGAATCATGGGTTTGGACCTCAAAGGGCAACAAACGCGTTGCAACTGCACAAAAGTGGCGTGGCTGCAGTTGGACACTGACCTTTGACATCGCTGAGACTGGCCCCGGACACCCCTTCACTGAGGTCGATGAGCGTCCCCTCAGACTTACATCGAGGCAGGATGTGGTTGTTGTTAGTCACTCTGATGATTCGATGGGCAGCCATGGCCGGTACTTAAAAAAAATGTTGGCTCATCGGCAGCTTTTCAACTGAATGGGAAACAAACATAAAGGATTTAGGGACTGGATGGGAGCACCCAGCCAATTATAAACATTCAAGAACACTCACTTAGGCATTCAAGTAAATCTGGTGCAACTTCCAGAAGCAATGCTAATTTTCTACATCAGTAGCATAGTCAAAGGTCAAAGCTGCAGGAGCAGAAAATAAGGCTGGCAAAGAAATGAGCCCCAGCATGAACAGGGAGTGTTTTTCTGAATCAATGCAAAGAGCAAGTGTGTTGAAGTCGGGGAGAAAAAGAGATGTGATTCATGAGAACAATTGAAAAGCAATAAAGAAATAAATCCAAAACAGATTTAAGTTCTGAGTCACAGTGGCAGTGAGGAAGGTCAGGAACATATTGTAAAGAACAAGGGAACCTCACTTTTATTTCTTCGCAGGAATAACAGAGTGTAGAAAACTCTTTGCATGCTATACCACCTCTATCGCTTCCAAATCCTCAAAACTTTGCAGCATGAAACAGTAGATATTTCTAAAAAGCGAGTCAAACTACAAAAAGAACACACAAATCCAAAGACAAAGAGTATTTAGATATCCTTTATGTGATAGCTGATTGCTCAAAACCATGGATGTAAAAACCTTTTCCAACCCAGATTTAAATCTAGACCCTTTACAAGACACAAACAGATGGCGCAACATTTTGAAAAGACACTGCAAACTTATTGTCCCCTTAGCAACTAACTCAACAGGCTCACTGACTAGCTTGGAGATATGTTTCCCCTGCCCATCTTTATTAAATGAAATGAGACACAATCCTCAAAAGCTAAGAAGGAAACAACAAGGTTTCAGAGTTGGAGCTGTTCCAGCGATCATCATGCGGAATGGGAGGTGTTTGGACAATAACATGGATGAGCTCAGTGAGCTGGTAAAAGAGGAAACTTAGTGTGGACTGACTGAAGTGCTTCATGAAGCGTTGTAGTGTTGTAACATATTCATTTAACAGAGAGTTAAATACATTTAAAGAAATAAGGAGTCTCTTAAAAATAACACACGCACAAAAAGAACAAGTAATCTAAAAAACTGAAATGGTGTAATGCACATTTATACAATTGAAATGACTATAGAGAATACTAATACCAAGTGTGCATGTGTATAATTTCATCTGGAGTCCTTTAGACGTAGGATTTACGGAAAAAAATTAAATCGATCTGTTACTGTATATCAGGAGTCTTGCTGACCGGTCATACAGCCACAATCAAAAGAATGAGCTCAATGATACTTCACAGATATAAGTGGCAATATTAGCTTCCTTCAAGCTTTCCCTCAGAGATACGGTGAGGAGCTCAACCGTTTGAGAGGGCTCAGAGTAGAGTCCTTACTCCAATACACTAAAAAGTGTATTGGAGTCGGTTTGAGTATCTGACTAAATGAATCCTGAGTGCTTCCTGAGTTGAGGTGAGCCCTTGACCAGCTTGGGATTGCCTCAATTCCCCTTCAGAAGAACTAAAGGAGGCCAGGGAGAGGAAAGGCTGGGCCTCTTTGCTTAGACAGCTACCCACGTGACCTGGACATCAATAAGTGGTAGAATATGGATGGAAGAGTTTCACAACTAGCTAGTACTCAGCGTCCAAGAAACTGTAGTCATCACACTAGCCAGAAACTACAGCTTATGTTGTGTGAGTGGGCTAAAGGTAGTGGTTGAGTTTTTCTACACCAAACTAATGCAGCTTCAGGTCCATATTCACATTGCAATCCAACATTACAAAACCTCTGATTAAATCGATGCGACCCCCCGCGACCTTTAAATGCATAAGCGGTACAGAATGGATGGATGATAACAAAACAAAATTGTAAACTGAAGCGTCTGTTATGTACTGGTGGCATCATTTAGTATTGAGAATATCTAAAATATACCTGCATTCAATCCTGTTCTGAGACAAAACCACAAAAATGCAGAAAAACTACAAAGACTGATTTAATTATCAAATATTTGGACAGTTCTGTTCACATACTTCAGGACATGTAGCATTTTTGAACATACACATACAGAAATGCAAAAAATTGCGGGCCAATCTCAGAGGCTGTTTGCACACAGTGCTTATTTTATATCTCAGACCACATCAAGCAAGTTACCAACTTCCTTGTCAGAAATGAGCTGTGATTAAATTTGAAAAACACACACAGGCAACAGAGGACTATAATCTGATTAGAGGGGCGGCAAGAAATTGTTTTGCAGCAAAAACGTCCCACGAGACTTTATTATTCCGGCAGGACGTGGCGAGCGGCGACAGTGGGGACATTTGCATTTGCACACTAATGATGCCATTTTAATCTGATTAAAGCAACACAGACTGCAGGAGGCGCCATGAAAATGCCTTTCACTGATTGTCATTATTAGAGCTGTAATGTGTGCAGGTGGATTTCCATGCAGCTCATTTTCATAAAGTAATGCTTTGCAGCTTTCACGCACAACTAAAGACAACACAGCAAATTAGCTGCAGTATTATTAGTAGCTACTGACATGCATTATTGAGAGTACACCAGCTTTTTGCTTCCTCTGAGCAGCTGCTCAACCAAAAAGACTATTGGAAGAGGTTCCTGAGAGGGCTCAATACTAGTTTTGGAGGACAAAATTGTTGGTTTAAAACATAAAACTTCTTCTAAAAACTGTCTTCCCTCTCATCACGCAGCATCAAAGCTTGCAAACTGAAAGAAAACCAAAAGCAAAGCATCAAAAACTGAGCTTCATCTGGGTTGGAGGTTAATCCTCAGTGTAAAATTGTGATATTCACAACTTCAGTGTATCTGTGCACACTGAGTACTTTGTCTAAGGTCCCTACTCCTTTTGAAATTATTGTATTTTCAACTATGTGAAAATCTCAGCTCTCTTTGAACAATGTCTGGCATTGACGATTATTGTTACATGCCGTTATTGTATAACCTTCCACTGAGGAAGTATTCAGATGAAGCTGAGGTGGATTTGATGGACTCATCAGGGGCTTGTTCGACTAAATCAACCTACAGCCATTGTTCACCTGTCAGAAACATGGCTGTGTGTCAGTTTTTCGCCGAACACTGCTGACTAAGCAGTAATTTGATAGCAGGAAGCATCAGAATTAAGAGAATGAGTCAGAATTCAGAATATTATTCTAAGCAAAGAGGGGTGTTTTCAGCCTCAGATTATGACTAGTTTCTAAATCAGGGACTGTGAGGCGCTCTAAAGCACAAGGGGGAAACCAGCCATTACCAACTACACCCTATGATAAGGATCTCCCAAATGGTGTGCTTTGAGCCAAATGCAGCTGTGTCTGAGTGTCCTGCCTCAACCAATTTTGATATAACACTGCAAAAAAAGGCAAGGAAGCAACCAGTTTCTAGTATTTTAAAAATCCTTTCTAGGGGAAGTCCAGCTAAACCCAGACTGTTTGCAGTTACAGCATGGTAGGACTTATTAAAGTGTGACACATCAATGCCGCTGATTGACAGTGAGGAGTAATGAACACTTCTGTGGAGTAAACCACGACTAACCACCAGTGCACAAGTCCCACCACCTAAAGCAAGGAGAAAAACTGGTAGCAGAGGGCGATGCAACTTCTGTCTCGTGACATCAGCAGCTCTCAGACCATGGAGGAAGTCGCCAAACAAGCTGAAAAGGCACTTGCAAAGTAAAAATCCCCGTGTGGAAAAATGTATTTTAAAGAGCGCTAGATCCCACTCCAGAGGCAGATATGCCATTTGCGAACAGTGTGAAAGTGTTGGATAAGGTGATGGAGGCAAGGTAAATGCTAGTAGACTGGCGACAAGGCATCTTGCTGGATCCAGATCTGGCAAAAGGGCAGTCATCTTAAAGATGCCTTCATAAGACAACAGAAGATCCAGGCTCAAAAGCAGAGATGACAGAGGTTTTACAGGTGCGGCTCCTAATGTTTTGAATAACCTACCTTTTTCACATAGGATCTGCCAGACTCTCAATCATCAAACATCACACACAATTGTAATGGAAAACGACTGAAACCAAGTCGAGTTGAGCCGAACTGAATAGGTTCCAGTGAAAAAGAGGCTCCAGTATTCTCCCTGAAACCTGATGTGATCTGAGGATATTTTGTGCAGATATGAATACAAGCAAGTCTTGAAATTGTGAAAATGGGCCTTAGGCACAAAAAAGTTTTAAAAACTCTGCACTAAGACAGAAAAGCAAAACTATAACAAGAAGAAGACTGCCTAGTAATCTCAGAGGGTAAAAAAAAGCATCTCTAGCCTGATTCTCAGGAGAGAAAACAAAGCTAAACTCTTGGGGTGGACTAAGACACGCCAGCATTTCACTGGGAATAAGGGACAAAAACCCAATTGAATACTAGAGTACAGTATAAACTGATGAAACCAAGTCAGTGATTAGTGCCAGTAAGAAAGATGAATGTAAGGAGAGGAACGAGCGAACAAAAGATATTGCAGTGTAGGGTTGGGTGATTTCAATAGTCTGATCGTCCTATTGTATTCTTTGAGGCTGCCAATACCCACCATGGTTTCTGAAGGTGGTGATGGAGGGAGGGGGGTGCATATTGTCTCCTATCTATCTGGGCAGTAGCATATTGAGCAGCAGGGCTTCTTGCATCCTCGCCACTGTCAAGGTTGAAATGTTCTCTGGTTATTCTTTTTGTGCTCAGCTCTACTACAGTGGCTCAAACACTAAGTACTCTACCTTAATGAACAATTATTTTATCTCCATTAAAGCTGAAAAAAAAACCCCAAAACTTCCTCTAGTCTTTTGGTTCATGCGTGTGTTTATTATCCTTGAGTTTTTCAGCTGCTCCGTTGCAAACCTGCTGATATTTTCACATCTGCCTCTCTGGAGATTAAACAAAACTGCAGCGGAGGTGGACTCTCAGATGTGGAGTGTGCAGGGAAGAGAAAGTGGGGGAATTGCTTAATGGCTGCAAATGTTCACCTGGAAGCTCCCGCTGAAAGCCGGTCAAACTCCTTTGAGGTGACATTTAATTTTCCTGAGCGTGCGGCTCATCGATAAAACCCCTCCTTCCTGTTCAAAAATGAGCACTCAGCGATCCGGCTCGGCTGCTATCAATAACAAGCCAGCAGACAAAAATACCGTGTCCTCTCTTTGATATAATGCCACGACGATCAGTGCTAAATGCTGCGGGAGGTGAGGATGGCTCTGACAGATACAGGTGAGGGAGGGGGAGTTCACTGCAGGAGGTTCAGCTCTGAGAAAAATGGAGTGCTAGAAGCTCAAACTTTTGTCAGGGAAGAAAAAACCCCATCTAGGATCTGATGAGGAAAATGACACAAGTCATTAAAAGGACAAGAGAGAAACAAGCTTGTTTGATCGCCTCTGAGAACCGAGGAGATACAGAAATAATAACTCCAACTACAGAGAGCAAAATGATCTCTCCCACTTGTGTTCTACTTCATGTTTGCAGATAAATTTCCAATTCAGAGGCAGTGAAAATGCCAAAACAGCATCTTTTAGAGGCTTTGCAGTGAGCCGCCGGCGCGCTTCTTGGCCAGCCTTTGCATTGCATTCACATGCGAGTTGTCAAAATGTTTACGAGTTATCCACACATTTCGGTCAGGCTGATGGAGCGCAGGAGCGGCGAGCACATCGGGGAGTCGAAAGTTTAATTAGCCGAGAGTGGGCCGGTCCAAATCCCTGTGGATGAATGTAACTGTAATGACTATTTCCAGCAGCCATATGCTCATGGAGACTTTATCATTTTTCCATCATCGGTGTTTCTGATGGGCAGCACACATCTGCTGGCAGGAAAACAAAGCCTTAAACTTAACCTACAATATCTTTTGTGGGCAGCAATGTCAGATCAATGCAGGACTAAAAGTCTCCTAAATCAAGATCAAGCACCCCAAAGAAAGCTCCTCACTTCCTCTTGTGCTGTAATTCTCGGAGATCAGTTTAGTAAGATGAAATAAAAACACCTTTATAGGCTTGTTAGCTAAATCTTCAAACAGTAAACATGAGATAAAACCTCCACATTCCATTAATGTGAAAAATAAACACCTCTTTCGGCAAAAGAGTGAAGCTGGAGCCATCAAAAAGCCAGTCTGATTCGACTTTAAGCTCCACTAAATGTCAGCTCTTTCATCTGTTCTGCAGGAAACTGAGAACAGGCTCTCGGGTTTAATTCAGTGCCAACCTCGAGACGCAAACACATTAGGTCGAGTTGAGTCAAGTGGCGACCAGGCCTGCCCGAGGCGATGCAGCTTTGCCCCCAGCATGCACCAGGGGACGTGTGTTTACACCTGCGATGTGGTCGAAATGAAGCAAGAACTCCGGGGCAAAGATGTCCTTGGAAGTTTGCATGCTGCCAAATGAAATTAAAAATGAATGAGGATAACGGTCACCACTAATTAGTGGTTTCACCTTCTCTTTCAGTTGGTTTGATTGGACAGGAGTTTAATGATTGGTCTCTGTGGGCCACCGTAGATGTTTCTAGGAGCCTGAAAGGACAGGGAATTAAACTGCCCCCAAAAAATGCTGATCGTAAAGACTGTATAAAGTGAAGCCAATGTGGAAGTGAATCACACTTGCAAGGCATCCATTTATTTTCTGTTTTTACTGATTCTGATTCTATTACTGGGAATAATTAAGATACTCTGGATGCTGAGTTGTTGATCCACCAGTGTAAGTGGAAATGTCCCTGTCAGTCCATTTACAGTAATCCCTCGATCCTGTGTATATATATATATATATAAATATATATATATATATATATATATATATGTATATATATATATATATATGTATATATATATATGTATATATATATATATATATATGCAACTAATTGCGTATTTAGTCTGTTTACTTTTTATGGTATGTGTGTAATTTTTCTACCTACCCATCTATCAATCTGTCGACCAACCTACCTACCTATATGCAAACCTATCTGTATGTTCATCTGTCTACCTAACTGCCTAGTTACCTGTTTATCACTCTTTCTGCATACCTACCTGCCTATCCATCTGACTATCTACCCACCTATCGGTCTATCAGCCTGTCTGCCAAACAGTCTTCTTACCTACCTGTCCATCTACCTGAGTCACTTCTAACCACCTGTTTAAGAGTAGGATTATCTTGTAATTTAACCACATTTTAAATAATCAATTTTTTCCCCAAACATGACAATGCTAAATCTACCTCTAACCCTAGATGGATCAGGGGGCATCCACACAGGAAAAGAAGTCAATGATCTTCAGCAACCTTAAGCAAAGTGGGCGGATCCCAATGTAAGCTTTTCTGAACTTCAAGGCGAGTGATTGAACTACCAATGAGACCGAAGGCTACAGTTGATTGTTATATCACGGTGTGCTAAATACATTAAAGGGATCTTTTATTTACCTAAATTAATCTTCTCTTAGCTTAAAATGAGCCAGCACAACATCAATGATCAAATTAAAGGCTCAACTCTTTATTGAAAAATCTCCAAATAATATGATGACGAGGCAAATAAAGGAGTATTATGGGCAACCATAATACTGGGACTTCTTCTGTTTTGTAGAAAACATTTAAAACGTCTTTTCTTTAAGTCTGCACACAGAGAAGCACCACGTTCCGCCAACCTGCTCATTTCTGCCCCGCAGAAATAAAGTAATAAATAAAAAAGCCTTCCTCTTGGCATGTGGTCAAGTACATTAGTCTGCAGAAATGCTCTGCCCTCAAATGCCGCCGTTCATCACCGGAGAAATTCATCCGTAAAATATTACAATCGCCACTCTCTCGCCCCCTCGGGATGAATTTCCAGGTAAACGAGGACCGCTAAGTGCTCAGTTTTAGTGTCACTTCCTCCTCCGCGCTGAAGGAGGTTCTTCAGCAAACGGCTGTTTAAGAAGAAGTGGCACTTTGCACACGTCAACCGGTCAGCTTCGGGGCGGCAAATCGCTTAAATTTATGCTTTGATCGCTATAACTCACTTCCGATGTCTCGATTTCCAGCAGGAAAACAGCCAAGCGGTGCTTTACAAAGCATTAAGAGTTGAGTGATGGGGAAAAGTTATTATTCAGGGAAAATGCAAAAGGAGCTAATGGTGACATTAGCAGCATTTATAATTCCATGAAGGAGTTTAGCTCATTTTAAAGTGATAATAGAGGATGTGCTAATGTGACAGAGCTCCATTTTTAAAAGGAAGGAGATAATGAGAATATAATTGGTTGCTTTTGGACTTTTTTTCTCACCAACCCGAAGAGCTTCAGGTGTAAAAACGCGATTATCTAACTTCAAGGCAGCAACCCGTTCCACGAGGTCATGATGACCAATTTGCAGACTATAAAAACTAAGTATGCCATGTTTTATGGTGTGGGAAGCATGAACGTGATGTCAGTTTAATTGTGATTGGTTCGTGTGGCAAGGTGTGTTAACTGAGATTCAGTGGAGGAGGCTGGGAAGAGGAGGAAAATGAGAGGGAGGAAAAGACAGGAAATAATGAAGGAAAGGGAAAGGACAGAGGAGGAGGATACAAAGGGGGAGTGAAGGTTTATAAGACAGAGGTGAATAAAAGGACAAAAGAGGATAGGGAGGAGAAGAGAAAGAGGACTTGAGGGAGTAAAGAGATGGATCAAGAGTAGGCAGTCAAAATCAAGTGGGAGAAGAGAGCAGGGAAAAAGGATGCAGCAGGGCTGGGAAGGAACAGGAGGGGGAGAATACCAGAGGGAAAAGAAAGGGGGAAAAGGAAAAATGCAGCAAGAGAAGAGTCAGGGAAAAAGTGCAAAAGGAGGAAGATGTGTCAGGAGGATGCTGAGGCAAAAAGAGAGGAGGAGGACAAGCAGATGAAGAGGAATAGGTGAAAACAGGACAAAAGGTCTCTTGCAGAAGTGTTTAACATGGAAAACACTCCTGTTAAACCTTGAAGCTGAGAGGGAGAGGATTTTGAGCTTATCAGATGACCTTACTTGCAGGGCTAAAGAGGTGCTGGAGAGGGCCGTGCACGCGCATAACAGCGTGTGCACGCGTGACAATAAGCTCTAATCGCCAAATTGCCATTTCCAGTCACTTTTTACTGTGCTGCTGCTGAACTTCTCCTTTTGAACCACCGCTTTAAAGACAGTATATAAAATAATAAGACAAAAAGGTCATGAAGGAAAACATGAAAATGTTGGAGGAAATAAAATAACAATATACACTATACACCATTAAAACAACTTATCAGAGAAAATGCTATTAAATATTAGTAAAACACTATAGAAAGTCATTATGGGGGATAAAAAGTCAGTGTGAAGCAACGCAACTGAATAAATATATATAACGTGTATCATCATGTGAGTAAAGCCGAATTTGTCTCCATGCACAGTTCTGCTGAGGTAGCGGTTAAGTACTTTGAAACAGAGTCAGAGGCTGTAATTCTAAAATTGGTTGTAATGTGAACTGACCTCCCGGCTGGCTGGAATTCCCGTGCGCTCAGAGAACGGTCCGAGTGAAGGTGAAGAGTGGAGCTGATGGAGAGCCGCGCGACGGTTCTTCTTCTGCTTTTCCCCCTTTTTTCCAGCGACATTTGCCTTAAAAAAAAAACAATTTTTTGTTTTTATAAACGGTAAATTAGTGAGAAGAAAAAGTAAGAGCTTGTTTCTAGTCCGAGAAGTTTTTAACGATTACAGGCGATCTCAACTCCCCTGAACCGTCCGTCTCTGCTCCGCTCTGCCGGAGGACTGGGGACAGACGCTGGAGAGGAGTGGTGACGTCAGGACGAGGGGCGGGGCCATAACACATGCACATACATGCGCACATTGGATGGCTACACTAAAGTAATCTATTACTTTACTGAAGCAGTCTAATGAAAATTGTTTTCGTCTGATTTGTCACATATTCAAACAGAAATGTAAAGTTCACAACTAAAATGAAATTAAAAATGGAATAAAAAATACAAGGTAAAAGTTTGAAACAAAAATTAAGAAATTGAATTAAAAAATAGATTATGAAAATAACAACTGTCAAACAATAGTAGAAGAAATAGAATAAAGTAATCAAAGTATCAATAATAGTTAAAAATAAAAAAAAGTAAAATAATAAAATACAAAGTAAAAACTTAAATATAATGGAAAAATCTTAAATAAAAGCTAATATTTATAAATAATTATAAATTATAAACTATAAACTACAAATAAATATTACATTTAGAAATTAAAAAAGTAAATATTATTAAATAAAAAGTTACATTTAACTTTAAAGTTAGAATGTGCAGAGTGTATACTAAACATAAAATGAAATTAATCAAAATTAGGCAAAAGTAAAAAATTAAGAGGTAAAAAGGAACAAAACACATAAATTATTAGATAAAATGAATCAAAAGAAAAAGAGGCAAATTTGTGATAATAAAACCCTCAAAAAGCTTAAATGTAGTAAAATGAATTCTAAATTGTAAAAAATAGAAGATAAACAGAACTGATGAAGAGAAATGATAAAGCACAAAGAAAATAAAACATAATATGTTTTAAAAAATAATAAATAAAAAGTTTATCTTATTAAACAGAAATTCCAAAGAAAATGCAAAAAAGAAAATTAGTAATAAAATGAATAAAATTTTTAAAAATTTAAAAAAAAAAAAAGTATAATAAATATAATCATGAAATGAATCAGAATTATTAAATATAAATATATAAATAAATGTGGCATGCCACTTGACTAACCCTTACCATGTCCATGATACATGTGACATAAAAGGAAGCCAAGTTTCATCTATTTAGTTCCAACACATGTTTCAATTTTCAGTAAACAAAATGAACCTGTTGTTATTTCCATAAATAGAGAATAAAATGTCAATAAACACAATAAAACTGTCCCAGGAGTCAGTAATGATCAGCACTGACTGAGGCTGTCTATAAATAAAGCTGATGGGTTAATGACTCATAGAGCAGGATGGTCCTCTGCTAATGAGCCGCGATTCATAGATGGTTTGGTGACTGAATATTGTAAGCGAGCTAAAATCCCTCTGTGGCTGCTGGGGTCTGGGTGACATTGCGATCAACATTCAGAAAAGTCAGAAAAAAATGAACTGTGCTTTAGTTAGTTCAGAATAAATGCTATATCACTATATAGCATTTATTCTGTATCCCAAACCTCAGTAATTGAGATACTGTCAGCTAGTCAGCCAGCAAGCAAATTAACCAGTCATAAATTAAACTATTCCAAAGCCCACTGACTGACTACTTTTAAGACTAAGTCCACCATCACACACAAAAGATCAAATCAAACACCTTTACCAGTCTGAATATAAAGTGGACTGAGGAAAAAAACACAAAAAGATCTGACTTTGATCAAAAAGCTGAGCAAACTGGACTCTCAGAGCTCTTTATGAACAGAGGAGATGAGTGGAAGAGATAAACGCCCACATGCTGCAGTGAGGTATCCTGTTGCCTCTCTGCTCCCCCTGCAGTCATGCCTGAGGGAGCTTTTAAAGGCAGCACCCAAAGTCTCCAACAAGCCCGCTAATTAGATCAACAGCTGGAGAAGGAGAAAGGGAGGAAATTAAAATGCAATGCCCCAATTAATCTCAGAAAAAACCCCCATCAGATTTGTATCCACTGCCTTTAGTTTATCACTCAAACCTCAAAGCGTCATATTTGTACCTTTGCACGCCATGCTAATTGTGTGAATCCATTTCACATGTGAACACGAAGATAGGATGAATCATTGCGTTTTATTCACGAGTTCTTTATCTTATTCAGTTCTCGCATTCACGTCTTATTTCACAGTTTGGTCACATCCCCCCAAAAAAGAAAAAGAAACAACCGGCAGGACTTTAGAAAGCATCGCTCTGTGCATGATGAATGCTGCAGCAGCTTCAGAAACATGAAAGCGCTGTGATTTATCTGACCAAACATCGCATGCTTTCTCACTCTGCTCTGTCAGGGGCCGACGGGGGTGCGATGGATATCTGTAAGGCGAGCTATGAAGTGACTGGAGATCAATGCAATGCTGATATCCATAAAGCGGGCTGAAGTCACCTTGGACCCTCACATTTCAAAAAGCATTTCTAAAAAACATTTTCAGTGTCTCAGACTGTGAATAACTGCAGTTAAATCATACAGGCTGAAGTTTTCATTTTTTTCCACATGACAAAACACATGATGCACTACAGGAAACTGAATCTGAACTGTTTTTTGAACAATGAATTATTCACATTTATCTTTGTTTGTGTGTGTGTGTTTTCTTTTTTATTTAAATGTATGCTCCAAAAGATTTAGAAAGTGAGAAATTTGCATTGAAAGATGACCTTGAATTTAGAGTTATGTTTCTGTTTTGTTTCTTTTTATGTACTAGTTTTGACATTGACCAGGCAAACTTTCTCCGTGTGCATCACCTTGGGAAACACTTTAAATGGCGGCACAGATCTATCTATTTCAAAGTAAACACACTTTAGCTATTTACATGGAATAAATCAGATCGACATTGATCTTATTTTGGTTGCTTGTTTCTTTTGGGTCCTAACATACATAGAAGTTGAACTACACAGAGTTTTTGTACAGTAAGAGATGTTGGATTGGATTCCTAAGATTTTTGCAGTGACTTGGACAAACTCCTTGGCCAATCATAGCTTTTGGTGTTTCATTGAATTGCATGTCATCAAGGAAGCACCAAGGACCATCCATCCAATCAATACCAATACCAATCAAAGCTTTATTCGTCACATGCAGGTTGCCCTGCAGTGAAATGGGACCCCCCCGCCTTACACATATAGCACAAACATTACATGGGGATACAGGTCGGAGATTGGTAGAATCAGAGAAAAAACATTGAAATGTACACTACAATGGGGAAAGTACAAGAGGAAAAAAAGAGACCCCTACTCATGCTATGCTTCCATGGTAGGACAGCATGAGAACAGGCCATGTGGTGGTAATGGAGCTTGTTCGAGCAAGAGGGGAGAGGGTACACCCTGCAGACAGTCTCTGTTGCAGGGCTAAGACAAAGAGAGAGAGAGACAGCAACTATTCAGACCTATGGCCGTTTTACCAACATGCATGTGCTGTAACTCATCGCTGTAAAAATCACATGGTGTTGGTTGTATATTCTTTGCAAGTTCTTTTAACAGCAATTTATTCTGGGAGCCCACATCAGCTAATTAGATCAAATGTACTATAGTGTAAATGTCAAATTTACCAATGCATTGTAGGATTTCAGCTAACTAGAAGTGTTTCGTGCAATTGGCAGTCATCTCTTAGATATGATGAAGTATTTTTCTTCACAAAAGAAACGACACAAATTACTGGTTATATAGAGGAAAATTGCACTATTACTGTAAAAATACTGTAAAAATAAAAACAACATCATGAGATTTTTACAGTATTTTCCTGGGGAAAAATTACAGTAGAAAAACTTTAAAAAATAAATGATAGTAATTTGCTTCACTTAAGTAGAAGCCTCTACCAATAAAACGCTGTAATCTGGGTTTGAATACAGACTGGGACCTTTCTGTGTGGAATTCTGTGTTCTCCCTGTGTCTATCTGGGTTCTCTCCGGGTACTGCGGCTTCCTGCTATCATCCAAACCATTCACGTTAGGTCAAATGGTGATTTTAAATTGGTTGTAGATCTTAATGATTTTCTGTCTCTCTGTTTTAGCCCTGTGATAGACTTTTGACCTGCCCAAGGTATATGTCGCTTCTCACCCTGTGAAAACTGGGAGATGCTCTGGGGAACTCCAGGTCTCAAGGGCCAGTTTCCTGCAGGTTTTACATATAACCATGGGTCAACACACCTGAATCAAATGATTAGTTCATTACCAGGCCTCTGGAGAACCTCAAGACATGTTGGCTGTATCCCAATTCAGGGTCTTCAGCCTTAAAGTACGCAGCCTCAACGATCCTCAAGGGCCGCGTACTTAAAGACCGCTAAGGCTGGAAGTGCGAGGCTTGTGAAATGGGACGGTCTAGCCTCCGTTGCGCTGCAAAGGTTGCCTAGCAACCATGATACTAACAGCTGGAAACGTGTCATACAGCTTTGTTTGACAGAAATGAAGGAGAAAATCTTTTGTTCATTTGTTGGTTTGTTTCTAAATGAGCTTTGATCATTCTCTGTAAGATTAAGCTCAGCTATTGAACGGCGTATATTTTAAAGTAAAGGCTTTAAAACCAAGTTAGTACAAACGTCACTAATGTCACATAACTTTGCCGACATGTGGCCAACAGTAATGTTTTAATTTTCTTCGTTATTAAACATTTGCACATAAATAAGTGACATAATATTCAGTATTTAAAGTTTACTCTTCGGGCGCCCCTCATCCGCCGTTTTTTTTTTCGGCAAAATTATCCACACCCACCGCCGCGCTATGCATTCTGGGATATGTTGGGCCATGAAGTCTACACCGCCACGTTCTTAAAATTCAGGGGAATTAAGGACGCATTTGAGGGCCGCATTTCGAGCAGCCTTCGAATTGGGACAGCCTTCGTCGCGTCGCGGTGACGTAATCGGCCTTAAAATGCGGCCTTTAAGGCTGCAGACCCTGAATTGGGACACAGCCGTTGAGGAGGTAATTTAGCCATTTAAATCAGCTGTGTTGGTTCAAGGACACATCTAAAACCTGCAGGGACACCGGCCCTCGAGGCCTGGAGTTGCCCACTCCTGATCTAAATCCTGCAGGACACCAGCTCTTGAGGCCTGGAGTTCCCCACCCTTGCACTAGAGGATCCGTGACCCTG